ACACACACACACACACACACACACACACACACACACACACACACACACAATCAACTTTGTCTCTGGTTTATCCCATGTTCCAGTGCAGGTTTGGTATCTTATAATATCAAGTCAATTTCTGTTCTATTTATTCTGTTTATTTCTGTTGCTGCGATTAAAATATTCGGACCAAAAGCAACTTAGGGAAGAAAAGGTTTATCCGGTTTACGAGTCTAGGTGTTACAGACCACCATTAAGGGGAAGTTGAGGCAGAAACTCAAGCAGCTAGCCATATTGTATCGTAGCTAAAAGCAGGAAAATAAATGCATCCAAGCCTACTCGTCTCTCACTTAGCTTGCTTACCTTTTCCACTGTTCTGGACCTTGGCGTAGCGAATGGTGCTAACCACTCCAGGCTAAGATCTTCTCTATCAATCAGCATTCAAGGCAACCCCCCCCCCCCCAGACATGCCCACAGGCCAGTCTGCTGTAGATAACCAGCTCCTTCCACAGGTAACAGGAAAGGAAAGTCCGGGTGAGAACTGGAAAATCTCCTGAGCATCTTTCCTACGAATACCCTTTGCTTCTCTGACTCTGGGCTTTCTTCAATTGGAGCCTTTCATGTTAAGATGGGACCTTGCTACATACCCTAGGCTGGCTTTGAACTCAGGATCCTTCTTCCCCAGCCTCATGATCACTTTGAACTCAGAGTCTCTCTCCCTCCCTCTGACTCCCTCCACGTGTGCACATGTGTGTCTGTGTGTTGGTGGACGGAGATACACATGTACCATGACACACACAGAGGTCAGAAGACAAGCTCCAGTGTCAGCCTCACCTGCCTTGTTTGAGACGGGGCCTCTGTTGATTCTCCTCCTCACATGCCTGGTAAGCTTCCAGGGCTTTCCTCATTCTCTCCACAGAAGCCCTGGGTTGCACAAGTTCTCTCGATATCGGTGGGTTTTGTGTGGTTCTGGGGATCTGAACTCGGGTCCTCACACTTACTTGATGAATATTTTATCTGCTGAGCTATATCCCCTTACACACTGGAGCTACTGAAAATATCACTCCTAGTAAGGAGTCTAGGGCACGACGGACCCAGGAAAAGGCAGATCAGACAAAACATCGAGAAAACACAAACCACCAGATACCCTTAGAGCTTCTGGTCTCTCATCCTTGAACTTCAGTCCCAAGTACCTTTTTATGAATCCTCCAAAGATAAATTATATCCCCTAAATACATTTTTTATGGATCAAAACCATATTTCAATGACAATCAGGTAGTAGTATCTATAAATCTCAGTCCCCAGGAGGAGAACTGAAAATCTCAATATAATTGTGGTGGAAAGACTTCAAATTCTAATACTGAAAAATATTTTTCCAAGTGAAAGCTAAGTGATATGAGATATATGTGAAGTCATGAGGTATTTTTGTTTTGTTCTGTTTTGTTTTCAGACAGTTTCCTTGTAGTTTTGGAACCCGTCCTGGAACTAGCTCTTGTAGACCAAGTGGGCCTCGAACTCACAGAGATCCACCTACCTCTGCCTCCAGAGTGCTGGGATTAAAGGCATGCACCACCACCACCCAACATAAGGTATTTTTCAATCGCGATTTTTTTAGGCATGCATAAAAAATACCTTTCTATTTAATAAAGGCTCTTAGGACAAGTGTCCCCCTTTGGCTTGTCTGTGATAAAAATCATCAATGTTATTTAAGCAAGCTTTTGCTGTCCAGCGAGATGTATTTAAAATGTGTCAGCTGGAGCAAAGGTAGGTGGTATACACAGCACGGCAGATAACAATTACTCACCCTGTGGGCTGGCTCTCAAATTCTTCTGACCACTGTTCCTGAATATCCTCTGAAGAAAGATCTACATCCCGGGTGGTGGCAAAATTGAACTCGCTGCCTTCATTTCCATGGAAATAAATGGAGTTCCCATCTGATTGACAGCTATGCTGTAGACAAAGGAAGAGATCATGGGGTGGCTGCGGAATTGGTTCTGTATCGTTTTACCCGTGTATAACCAGAGTTTTGGGAAAGTCATTACATTAGCCCCTCCGTGATGCACTCGCAAATCGAAAGGACTTGTTACCTCCCTTTGGTCCTGCTTAATTCAATTACAATTTCATACTAACTTATTAAGTCATCACACAAAAGGAGTCAAGAGGGCATCTGAGTATGAGACAAGACTATTTTAATTGGAGTCATATCCCATCTTTACCACAGCCCTTGTTGTGAGAATTAAGTCTGATAATGACTTGTCATGCATTTTCAATTCTGTGGTTATAGGCTAAATCGCAGTGACCTTTTCAATATTCTGTGGAGCTCTGGCTTGCCATTCAAGCCCTTCACAATTTGTCTGTAAATGGAATATGAGTAGAAAAGCCAGCTAATCAAAACACGGGGGGCTGAAAAGGTCAGTCATCCCTGAGATGTCATATGTTCTTAGCCATATTTTCAGGAAGTTTCTGACCAGAACTGAGAGGGGACGGTGTTTCTGGCGAGAGGCTCAGAAATCGCGAACTCTGTTACTCTCTGGCAGGACACTTGTAAAAGGAAAAAAGAATTTTTTGCGATTTATTCTCAGCGTATGCTTCTCAGTTTGACGCGAATGGCCAAAGGCAAGAGGAAACTCAAGAGCTAAGCGAACTGAATACTTCCTCCTCAAAATTATAAGCTTTCATTATGAAATTTTGGTAATAAATCATAAAGGGAAATGCTAACATTTAATTTAAAGCAAACTTTCATTTAAACTTTAATACTCTTCTGAAAATGAGGTAGAGATGAAGAAAAACAACTGGACAAAATTGCCAACTATGCCACTGACTCTATGGAACAGGGACATTTCACCAGGTCTCAACACAGTGCTGGCACAGTAGGCACTCGAAACATGTCAAACAGCTTCATACGGGAAAGAAGAAATGCCGTAGCTATGATCTTTTTACTTTAAAATTATTTTATTTGTGTGTGTGTGTGTAATATGTGTGTATGTGTATGTGTGTGCGTGTGATGCATGTGTATGCATATATGCATGTGCATGTGATATATGTGTGCGTATGCATATGTGTGATATATGTGTATGTATAAATGTATGTGTATATGATGTATGTGTATATGTGTGTGTTATGTGTGTGCATGCGATGTATATGTGTGCATGTGCTGTGTGTGTGATATATGTGCATGTGTATATGTGTGCATGTGATATATGTGTACAAGTATATGTGTGTGCATGTGATGTATGTGTATTCACACAAATCACTAGAGATGAGGTTTTTGATAGAATAATTGCTGTCACACTTCAGGAATTTGGTTTGTTTCTCAGCACAAACAACAACAACAAAAGTAACCCTAGTTTAGTTGAGAAATGTCAAGTATCAGATATAGGGCCCAATGGCAGGCAGCATTATCAGTGGTGACACTGTGTAAGAGTCACCTCCGGGAGTATCCAGACAAGCAGACTTCACAGACGAGCAGGTCTTCATCTGGTTTAAAGGACAGATCTATGTTGGTGACAAATGTATACAAAACCAAGCTGTAATCACCACTTTACGCTACCAGCATCCTTCTGAATGGTATTCTAAACATGTACCCTCAGACCCACAGACAACGATAGCTCTCACTCCATCAGAGAAGCATCCCAGCAGAGAGCATCCCATGAAACCACAGCTGATCAAGGATGCAGAGAACCAGCAATCATGCGGTGCCCAGCCCCAGCTGGGCCATCTACAACGCCACTCCTGCACCTGAGGCCGAGGGAGTATCTTGGAAGAAGGGTTGGAAGGATTGTCAGAGCCAGAACAGGATGGCACTGTGAGAATGTGTCTCCTACAAGACACAGGGAAGCTACATCCATGAGGTCTCAGACACAGGGAAGCTATATCCGTGAGGTCTCACCAACACAGCTGTGTAACCAAGAACTGAACAAAGACAGCACCCAAAGTCAAGTTATTAGGAAGGGAAAAATCACACAGGACCCCAAGCCTGGACAACAAACTCCCAGCAACTGAGTAATGCTGAGAGTGGGGGAAATTAGTCTTAGGGAAGAAGTCTTCATTTATTTATCCAACATCAAGTAGTCGGCCCTAAAATCCTCTACATATAAACAATATAACAATATTATATAAACTGAGTCTATTGTATTTATATATTTGTGTGTGTGTGTGTGTGTGTGTGTGTGTGTGTGTGTGTGTAAAACAATTAGAGAAAAAGAGACCATGAATTTTGGGGCAAGTTAGAGGGTATTATACGGGAAAGGTTGGAGGGAGAAAAAGGGAAAATAATGCAATTATATATTTTTTTGTTTTGTTTTGTTTTTCGAGACAGGGTTTCTCTGTAGCTCTGGAGATACAATTATATTTTAATTTTAAAAAAAATTAAAAAAAATCAAAACCCAAAACCAACCAACCAAAAGAACACAAAGATATTATTTATGTTGGCTTAGTCTGAGAATCATAATTAGGTTGGAACTTGGCTGCCAAGGCCACAGACAGCTGCACCAGGAGTCCCAACACTATGGCTTTGTCAGTGGTCCTCCAGAATCTAAACCGGCCATGGCTGGTGAAACCATCAGGGTTGTAATAGATTTGCTACTGAGTTGGAATAGTAAACAGTCTCCAGAAGTTCAAGAGAGCAGCAGCATGTGATCCTTGGGGACTCATTTCACAGCCTAAGACATACGCGCGTCTTCTGGGCCCCGTCATCACTTTCGCTAATACTTTGATGTGGCAAGCACCGGCTGCTTGGGACTCTTCTCATACGCAACGAATACAGATGACTCGTGGATGGTAAGCTGAACTCATTTATGCAATCCTTAGAAAAGACATATCAACCAAGAGGAAGAATTTAGTTCATTTCACAGTACACAGAAACTGTCAAACGGAGGTAAATTTTGCAGATTTCTCCACCCTGCCCACTTGAAAGAGAACCGACGTTAACAAGAACAGCCAAGGTTATTTCCCTAAAAACACCCACTGAGTTCTGGGTGTGAGCCTTCACGATTTTCCTCATGGTCAGAACCCTGATCAGTTGCGGCCTGTGGGTATCTGCAGCTCCTACACAGACCCAGACATCAGCAGAAACGGCACTTCCCAAGGAAATGGCACACGAAAGAGCCGCTCAAATGAAAAGAAAATAATTTACATTACAATTTGAATGAGGTGTTTGTACAATGAAAGAACAGCTCACCTAACAGCCTTTGTCATTTCTGACTATAGATACATTTAATTACTTAAATGTTGATTTCATAAACTTTTATTAATATTTTAAAACTATGTAATTTGTTTCTGCCCCTTTAAACCTTATTATTAATATACTTGATGCAATTTGAAGCTTACATGAGAAACAGATTTCATATAAAACATAAAATCCTTATAAAATTTTGTAGCTTATTGCTAACTCTCACAGAATAAATTGGAATTACAAAACCATGAAAGCATATTCAAAAGGCTTTCTCAGGAGCAGAACGTATCATTTACGACTGTGTAACTATTGAAAGGTAGTGTGTAGTCACACTTTGTCTCTGTAAATGCACACTTGCCACCCCGTGAAACACAAGTAATAGTCACCACGGCAAGTATGAAAAATAACAAGAACAAATTAATATCTATGTAAATAGTTATTAAGAAATATTCATATTAGTGGACCATAAAAACCAATCTGTCTTCAAGAAGTTTCTGTGAGAGGCAGAAGGTTGTCATTGTTTGTAGAGTTTTAAAATCTCTTTAGAGTTCTTCTAACAGATTCACAGTGGGCAGCCAGCACTTAACATCAGAGCTCTGTTCATACAGACATGGGAGAACTCCCTGTTCCGGTGTCTAGGCTTAGCCTTGGAAACATCCCATTAGGTTGAAATAGCAAACTCGATTCCTGGAGTCTCCTCTCAAGCGAGCCCAAAGTCCTTGTGGTTTAAGAGATGAATTGCTGAGCACCTGAGAGCAACAGATCTATTGAGTCCCTTCTCTCTAAGATGGTGGTCATTTACAGTCCTTGGATATACGATTAGTGTATCAGGCTATTGTGTTCTCATCCAAGGCTCAACGTTTTGAAATCATCCTGGTTCCCTAGAAACTCTCCAGATTAACAATGGGAGTCTAGATGCCATCACGGGCAGCAGTCCCTGGGCTTCAGTGGGCTTCTCAACTGTGCAGGAGAATTCAGGGTCCACTTGCTTAGGGCCTGTGTGAACTTCTCCCTCCAATTAATGAAGCACTTACACGAATCAAGGAAATCATACCATATCATATCACACTGGGGAAACATACTACTGGGAACCAAAAACAGTCCAAATGACAACGAATGAACACTCAGTACTGCATCCACGCTCAGGGCCTCTGGAGGTCGGGAGAAGGCCCAACAAAGCACGTTTCTTATATCTGACGCCCGGGAGCTGGCACAAGTCATTTTGCCCCCTAGGTCTCAGCGTCTCAGGGTGAAGAAGAGAGTGACTAATATCTTCTCTCTTGATATGTTGGGAGAAAGTCAGAGATCAGAGCAGCTCTTTTTAAATTTCTAAGTGCCAAATAATATCTATTTCTGAATAGACACTTTTAAAAGATACATACTATTATATTTTACAGTCTTAGTAGTAGTTGATAGAGAAACAGAAGAATATTTAAATATATTTTCGTTTCTCATTATAATAAGTATTATAATCCCTCAGATCTAATTAAAACCTTTAGAAAATTATACAAGAATAGTTCCCATGATACAATATAGTTTTTTAAAAGTACCACAAATGTTCACACATTATTACAGCAAATAAAAACCATCAATTAGAACTTAAAAATCCTCCATATTTTAGAAGATTATCAGATATTCTTCTAACAGATGAAAACTCAAGGATGTGGGATCACCGACATCACTTTTCTTAACAGATGAACTTGCATTGAATGACATCACAATCCAGTGTGCTAACAACCCAAGAGAAACGTGTGCTGGAGCTGTCGAGTCTCAGGAA